CGATGGAGGGAGCCAAACACAGTACAATGTTAGTACAGTTATTATGTGTCTGTCGATTGAGGGAGCCAAACACAGTACAATGTTAGTACAGTTATTATGTGTCCGTCGATGGAGGGAGCCAAACAAAGTACAATGTTAGTACAGTTATTATATTGGAGAAGGGGGAAAACAAAAGTGATTTAATGGACTGGGAAATTAGTTAGGACCCTAATCATGCAAATATAAGCGCAGAACTCGCCCGACTTCAGCAGTTTCCACTGATGCTTTCTACTTACATTTTTCTCGAGATTTGACCGGAGCCTGTACTCTGGATTTCGCAGAAATTCTACAACAATTAATTTACAAAAACATTTATATAAGATCAGTAACCAACATTTTGTGTGTGAGTAAATAATTTCAAATCGTAGGTATCCTGATGGGCTTTTTTGAAATTGATATACTGTATATGTATCTAGATATCTTTGTCCAACATTGATGATTATTACGATGATGATGATGATAACCCGTGTGAGAGGATGTGTGTATAGATATTAATGTACATGTAACAAAATCTTTGAGAAATATTGTTATAAAAATCGATCTAGATGTGCTGTTTTTATTCAGTTTTAAATAATGCGTGAACATAAGATAGCTTTTATTGTTCATGCTTATTTATTGATATGTCGCCTAATTTGTAAATACACATTCATTGCCAATTTGAAATATACTTTATGTTTGTTTTGCATCAAAGAGACACCTTCCTCTCTACACCACAAGGAAGTACATTGACAAGTGTCATGTGCCTTTCCCTGTTTATAATTATTTACTAAAGTTCCCATACAACACAATATGATTAAAGAGTATTGTTTTGTATACATATCATGGTCCCTTCTTCCTCTCCATAGAACGGCATTGAAATTAAATATCATTTTCGATAGTGGCTCAATTAAGTTACATTAATTTTGAGTTCGTATATTCATAACGGCACATTACCACACTTAGGTCATACTGTGTCACACGGTAGTCTTAACAGCCAATCAACACAACAAGGTCATACAGTGCCATACGGCAGTCTTTACAGCCCAACCACACAAGATTATCATACGGGGGTTCAACGGTAGCCTTAACAGTCCATTAAAACAATATAGTCATACTGAGTCACACGGTAGTCTTTATGGGCCAGTTAAAACAATATTGTCATACCGGGTCACACAGTAGTCTTTAATGTGCCAGTCAAAATAACATTGTCATACAGGGTCACACAGTAGTCTTAATGGCCAATTAAAACAATATTGACATACAGGGTCACACGGTAGTATGAATGGGCCAGTTAAAACAACATTGTCATACAGGGTCACACAGTAGTCTTTAATGTGCCAGTCAAAATAACATTGTCATACAGGGTCACCCAGTAGTCTTAATGGCCAATTAAAACAATATTGACATACAGGGTCACACGGTAGTATGAATGGGCCAGTTAAAACAAGTCATACAGGGTCACACGGTAGTATGAATGGGCCAGTTAAAATAATATTGTCATACAGGGTCACACGGTAGTATGAATGGGCCAGTTAAAACAATATTGTCATTCAGGGTCACACGGTAGTATGAATGGGCCAGTTAAAACAGTATTGGCATACATGGTCACACGATAGTCTTAATGGGCCAGTTAAAACAATATTGTCATACAGGGTCACTCGGTAGTATGAATGGGCCAGGTAAACCAATATTGTCATACAGGGTCACACGGTAGTATGAATGGGCCAGTTAAAACAATATTGTCACACATGGTCACACGGTAGTATGAATGGGCTAGTTAAAACAATATTGTCATACAGGGTCACACGGTAGTATGAATGGGCCAGTTAAAACAATATTGTCATACAGGGTCACACGGTAGTCTTAATGGGTCAGTTAAAACAATATTGTCATACAGGATCACACAGTAGTCTTAATAGCCAATTAAAACAGTGTTGACATACATGGTCACACGGTAGTCTTAATGGGCCAGTTAAAACAATATTGTCATACAGGGTCACTCGGTAGTATGAATGGGCCAGGTAAACCAATATTGTCATACAGGGTCACACGGTAGTATGAATGGGCCAGTTAAAACAATATTGACATACAGGGTCACACGGTAGTATGAATTGGCCAGTTAAAACAATATTGTCATACAGGGACACACGGTAGTATGAATTGGCCAGTTGAAAAAATATTGTCATACAGGGTCACACGGTAGTATGAATGGGCCAGTTAAAACAATATTGACATACAGGGTCACACGGTAGTATGAATTGGCCAGTTAAAACAATATTGTCATACAGGGTCACACGGTAGTATGAATTGGCCAGTTGAAACAATATTGTCATACAGGGTCACACGGTAGTATGAATGGGCCAGCTAAAACAATATTGTCATACAAGGGCATACGGTAGTATGAATGGGCCAGTTAAAACAATATTGTCATACAGGGTCACACAGTAGTCTTGCGACCACATAATACAACATTGATATACTGTCCCGCAGGTTAGTCAGCACAACACGGTCATAAAGCGCCACAAGGCAGTCTTATAAACAATAGAAGATCAGCAGATTATTTTTGTTCTCTTCAATGTCCCCTAAAACAGATGATCTGAAGGGAAAAAAACTATACTACAACGGGACTATTTAGCAGGACAAGCAAGTAGGCTATAAAACTATAGTACATTGTAGGTTAAGAAGAAGAGTCAAACATACATATTTACATTTCTACTGAACTTGGACTCAATATACCTACTTAACATTTTAAAGGTTATTTTTCAAGGAACTTTTCAATTGGCGTATGAATACATCAGCATATTATCAACCTGATTACTCTGCTGTTCTGCGGAGCGCGGGAAGAAGTTCCATTCATAGATTGTTTTCAATTTGTTTGTTTTTTTGTCAAAAAATAATTTACATCTTAATTTGCTTATTCATCTTACCAGGACGACGTCTCACATTGAGTAATGACGTCATAAGTTTTGATACCTTCCGTGGTGTTAGACTTGCACAAGACCGATATTCTAGAAATTATCCGAACAAATATCAATATCGCTCTGAATGTAAATATAAGGATAGAATCATGTTTTGTTGAGGTTTATAAGGTATAAACCTCAATGGGTCTTGAGACAAATTCGAATTGAACTGCTTCGCAGTTCATAAAATTTGTCTCAAGACCAATTGAGGTTTATACCCCATAAACCTCAACAAAACAGAATCCAATCCTTAAATGAACGGTGAATAAACGGAAGCTTGCTTACCAGCAGGATAAACTATATTATTTCTTCTGTCACTATTAAGAAATATTCGTTGAGTACCTTTTCAAAAAAAAATCTTTCATATAAATCACATGTTGCCATGCATTTGACAGAATTGTAGGTGTTTCAAATTAAAATGTTTGAAAATAAAAAATTTAAAAAAATGATAAAACAAGAAAATTGTTTGAGTCGAACTCGAAATCTTTACATTATTAAGCTTACGCTTAACGAATGTGGCCGTACAGGAAATACACAATCAGATCATCAAAACGAGTGTCCAATTTAGTGGCCACACCAAACATATCAAACAATTGGTAGAGGAATTTACTATTATGCCTAAAATACTTAATCGGGGTAAAACAACATTTTGGGGATTTCCTAGAAAAAAATCCAACTTCCCCACCCTCTTCCTATCACGTTTCCCCCCTTTTAGACGTTTCTGGGCCTGCCCTTGAGGAGGCGTAACGATCGTGTCATTGGTGTAAACTGGTGTGTAACCAACGAGGAAGTGTTCCGAGGGCAGAATACTTATATGTGTAAACACACGTACGAGATGTTTCACAGATAAAGGCGTGGCAGTATACTATACAATGACCCATTGACAATGTATCCGTTTCCAGAAAATACATGTCGTTCAAATATAGCCATGACGCTTTGCCCGAGAATTCAACATGCATCACAAATGAGGGTGGTGACCCACCACATGTTTTTCCGTAGTAGATTTCCTCTACAAAGGATGCTACCAGATAATCTACCGATACATACACTACATTGTATCTGTGTGAAGACCGAATGACCAACATAACTCGGTTTGGTTATATAATACCTAACATGTTTACTCCAGTAGTGTTCAGTCAAAGTCCCCCCCCCCCCCCCCCCCCCCCATAAAGTGAGTATTGTGGGTGTCACATTGATTCTGGGACACAACACGAGATCTTTTCCATAGTATGGGAGAATATGCAGTTACGAAGCCTCCGCTAACGGACTGAATTTGATATACAGAGTCTTAAAGGGTTTTGCTATTACGTGATATTGAAAGTTACCGGAGCGTGATACAGGAATATCACGATTTGGGCGGTCCCAGTTCGCTTGATAGCTATGTGGTTTGACAGTTATGACATGATGTGAACACTAAATGTATGAGACAGCTCAGATCAGATGTACATACGACGTAACAAGCAGATACATATTTTGATTAAAACCTGAAACAGCATTTTATATATTTATTCACATAAAACCAAGAAAACAGTTCGTATCAGACAAAACGAGAAACTAGCTTTGCCGTAATCATAAAAACAAAACGAGAAAGAAACACTCATTTGCTTATACAGACAAATCAAGAAACAATGCTCTTTTACTTACACTGAAAAAACCATAAACAAACACTATCTTACTTTTTTTTACTTATGCAGACAAAACAAGAAACACACACTATTTTACTTATACATGTACTTACAAAACAAGAAACAAATACTGCTCTCCTTTAACATGCAAACGATTAAACAAGCACTGCTGTCCTGTAACAGACTAACGAGAAACAATCTCTGCTGCCCGTTTACAGACGAAAGAGAAACACGGACTGCTGTCCTTTAACAGGAAAAAAATTAGAAACAATCTCTGCTGCCCGTTAACAGACAAACGAGAAACAATCTCTGCTGCCCGTTAACAGACAAACGAGAAACAATCTCTGTTGCCCGTTAACAGACAAAAGAGAAACACAGACTGCTGTCATTTAACAGGAAAAAAAATGAGAAATAAGCACTGCTTTCCTGTAACAGGCAAACGAGAAACAAGCACTGCTTTCCTGTAACAGGCAAACGAGAAACAAGCACTGCTTTCCTGTAACAGGCAAACGAGAAACAAGCACTGTCTTTATTTACAGACAACAAACAAGCACTGCCTTACTTTAACAGACTAACCGAGAATCTGACTCATAATTGTTTTTATATAAAATTGAAAATCAACAAATTATACATGGTTACTGATCAGATTACTAGAAACAGCGAATAGGGAATCACAGGACATGGTTATATTTACTTTCAATATATGCAGTAGTTGAAACAGTCTTACTTCATTCGCTAGAGCGCTGTATGTCTTAAGTCTAAATTTGTGTTCGTTAGTGGGTTGTAGTACGTAATCTCACCCCGTGTGTGTTACTGTCACACAGGACACACACTTAAATAATACTTATGTGGTAAACAAGTGATAAAACAAGCCAGGAGAACCCCTATTCAACTAATCATCAAATTTGACAAAGGAAGCTTAGTAGGAAACGATGTGTTCAAGTTTTCTGAATTAATACCGGATCTAGCAAAGGGTTGCTCGAACAGCACACATTGTTAGCCATATGCATACGGGTCAGGTTGTCACTTCCTCCTTTGCATTAATACTACAGTCGACCGCTGATTAAAATCACGTGATGGTCAATAGCTCCTTTCCTCACAAACAGGAATTTAAAGATGCTTGCTCACAAAAATACCAGGAACTCATCACCTGATTAAAAAAAGTAACTGACACGTTATGTCAAAATTTCTAGACCCAGTTGCTTAAAATAAAAAATGAAAACAAAACACAAGTTAGTGTGTTTCTCATTAAAGATAATATTAATACTGACAATATTTCCCTATTTCGGCTCTGTCTCTCAGCATCTATGGATCAATACTAAAGACTGTTTCCATGTCATCGTCTATGAACTTCCTTCACACCAGGAACATTCATAGTTGCATATGAGGTTATCTCTACATGTCGAGCAATAGCTATATGACAAAGGGACAAATCCCCTGGAATAGGGACATACCATTGAAAGGGCCAATCCTGGTAGCATGGATGGTACTGTTTCACATCGTCCAGGATATGAATAAAGGTTCATATGGTATTCTCAAGTTATAGCCCACTTTTCTTATTTGGCCTCGCCACTGGGATGAAGAGGGGCTCCAAAGTGTAGTAGCATAGGTGTATTTGTAAGAAGAAGGATTTTAAGAATCTACCCCTGTTTGGGATATTTGGCCCCGCTTTTCCACTACCATACCTCATTAGTTCTCTTATTGTGATTTCTTTTCCAAGGAAGGCGAACGGCGATATGATTATAAGGTTGAGTAAAGTATCATGGAGCAGTTTTTGTGAAATACACAGCAATGCCAAGTGATCATATTGAGAATGATATTTACTGAGTTCCTGTTAGCTTTGTAGAGTTCAATTGAAAGCTTTTCCAGCAAACTGTAGACGTCTTAGTGACAACAAAGTGTGCCCCTTATCGGGAGGACTAGACTTTTTGTGTTCTTAAAAGTCTAAATTTACTGAGGATCTTATCAAAAGTAGTAAGAGAAAGCTAGCCAAGCCCTTCGATTACACTTTTAGATATATCAACGATGTGCTGTCTTTAAATACCAATAAATTCATTGACCACGTCGATCTTGTACCCTCCTACACTTGACATCAAGGGCACTACAGACTCTTTTACTTCAGTTATTTACCCCAATCTTACTCTCAACATGGCCAACAGGGGCGCCTTACTACTAAGCTATACCGACTTACAACATGGCCAACAGGGGCGCCTTACTACTAAGCTGTACCGATATTGATTTTCTAATCGTGAATTTGTATAGCTAGTACCATCCTGTCACCCCAGCTACGGTGTTTACATGTCGCAATTGATTCGGATTTAAGATCTTTAAGCATCATGATTTATTTGATAAATGTCAACTACTGATGAACAAACTTACAACACAGGGTTCCCAAAGATGCAGATTGATGAAGACTATGGGCTTGTTTTATGGTCGCCTTCATAATCCTACTGGTAACTATGCTGTATATTTGTGTGATAAGAAGCTCGATGTTTTTTTTATCATGCTCGTTAGTGTGTTTTGTTGTTTTGTTGTCACAAACCCGGTTCTCGCTGTGGGGATTTGTTACGAGTATTACTTATAATGTTTAAGGTTGTTTTTATACTGCGGGTCGATTAAACAGAAGACGCTCATCCTTCCGGAATATCTGGTCTTGTTCTCCGTTTAAGTTTCAGAGGTCTCATGTAAATCGAACAGCATTTTCTTCATCGTGATTTACTAATTTAACGGCTACCTATTATTTCTTGGAATGTTCATGAAGAAAAGGATTTGTTTACTTAAACCAAAACCAAAACTCTAAAACAAGAGAATATCATGTCGTGATTCAAACTCAAGATCGATAAAACTCGGGCAAGATAAGAACAAAAGAATGATTAAAATGGAGACCCGTGAAAAAGTAGACGGAGATGAAGACCAGGTACACCCTTTCTGAAGGGTAAGCGTCTTCTGCTTCATCATCGGCAGCTGACACGTAAATCCTGGTTAAATCAATTGTATGATGGAATTTATTCTATTCCTTTTCAGGATTGTGGCATGTGAATTTAGTCTTTCTAACGTGAATATAATGGAAGCGATGTCCATGTCTATATGTAATAACAAAATACGACCTCAACAAGAAATGACCATAACAAACCCAAACAAGCACCATGACAAAATAGAAATACCAGTAGAACATGTACCAACTCCAAAAGGTAATACACGAACTTGTTCAATGTGTTAGTATGGTTCTCTTAACAAAGTATCCTCCATGTGGCATTAATGATGTTTACCGCTTTCAAAATATATAAATACAAACAAAATGAATCATATATAATTTGTTTTATACGGAGACGCAGGACAACAATGTAATGGAATGACGGCCAGGTGATCGCCACTTACCTGGGCGAACGAGATCAACTGTAGCTGTTGGGAGTGGTAGTCTAGCATCGGCACACGGTAAACGTCAGACAGGGAATGCTGGGATAGCTCCTGTGCACCAATACAAACAACTGTTACATAAACCTAGGGCATTCTATAAACACTTTAAAAATCGAAAAAAGAATGTAAAAAGTGAACTGAATGCAACCGATTTTTTCGATCATTTCCAAAAGTTAGCTATATCCAGCCCAACCAATAACGATGACGTTAACGATTTTTTGCTTGAACATGACACTAACGGTCCAAATGTTACATTTGAAGAGTTAGACGTTAATATAACAGAGTCTGAGATATTGTGTGCAATAAAGAAATTAAATACAAATAAGGCATGTGGTCCTGATGGCATTTTAAACGAATACATGATTAAATTTAAGACTGTTTTATTGCCATGCTTAGTTATTCTATTCAACAATATACTCACATCCGGGCACTTTCCGGAAACATGGTCTAAAGGTAATATTGTGCCTGTCTTTAAGAAGGGAGATGCAAATAATACTAATAATTACAGAGGTATTACTCTAGTTAGCTGTTTGGGAAAACTTTTTACGTCAATCATTAATAATAGACTGATGTCATTTGATAAGAAATACAGTAAGATAACTGACGCTCAATTTGGATTTAGAAAAAATCTTTCAACTATAGACGCTATATTTGCATTACAGGCCATAATTAATCGGAGTCTTAAACATAAGAAACGATTGTATTGTTGTTTTATTGATTATACAAAAGCATTTGATTTTATTAATCGACAAAATATGTGGTTCAAATTAATAAGGGAAGGAATTGATGGAAAGTTATTAGTGTTAATAAGGTCTTTGTATAATAACGTAAAATGTTGTGTTAAGTATAATGGTTCATTATCTGACTTCTTCAATTGTGTAAACGGATTGTTTCAAGGGGAAATTTTGTCTCCATTATTGTTTTCATTATATGTAAATGACTGTGAGATGCAATTTTTAATTGACAACTGTCCATCGATAGAAATTCAAACTTTAAATCTGTTCCTGCTGATGTACGCAGATGACATGGTAATTTTTTCGGAAACACCAGAAGGCTTGCAAGACATGTTAAATTCTTTAGAAGCATTTACAAAAAAGTGGGATCTAACGGTCAATACAGATAAAACAAAAGTGCTGGTTTTTAGAAATGGTGGTATTTTAAGAAACAATGGAAATTGGACATATAACGGATGTCCTTTGGAAATCGTAAATGAATTTAATTATCTAGGTATGTTGTTAAATTACAACGGCACTTTCAGAAAAACACAGCAAAAAATAGCAGATCAAGGAAGGAAAGCTTTATTTTCAGTTATGAATGTATGTCGTAATAATTATTTTAATATTGAAACCCAACTATCAGTATTTGATACATATGTAAACAGTATTTTGTGTTACGGTTCAGAAATATGGGGTTTTCATAAAGCCCCGGATGTTGAAAAAATACATATTATGTTTTGTAAAAAATTACTCGGTGTGCGTAAAAATACTTGTAATGCTATGGTTTATTTAGAGCTTGGTAGATATCCATTATCACTGCTGAGGAAATTCAGAATTTTTAAGTATTGGATAAAGATTATAAATACCGATAATTGCATTTTAAAATCATGTTATGAAGACATGTTAGTGCGTAACGACAAATGGGTAATTAATATCAAGAATGAATTATATAGAATAGGTCTAGGTTACATATGGCAAACAGATAACATTGATAATAGCTGTTTGATTATAATTAAAGAAAGACTTTTAGATATTTATAGACAAGATTGTATAGAACAAATTAGAACATCATCAAAAGGATTTTTTTATACATGTCTTAACAAAGAAGTTGGTATACAGGGTTATTTAAGAAAATCGTTTATGAAAGGTTACTTAAAAGAAATAACAAAAATTCGGCTTTCAGCCCATAATTTAAATGTAGAGAAAGGTCGTTATCAAAATATTCCGCGACTTTTAAGAATCTGTACCGCTTGTGATATAGATGATGTCGAAGATGAATTTCATTTTATTCTTAAATGCCCCTGTTATTCTGATTTACGTGAGAAATTTTTAAAAAAGTACTATTGTAAAAAACCGAGCATGTTTAAATTAATTCAGTTATTTAACGGACAAAACACAAATGAATTAGCAAAATTGGCCAAATACATTAAAGCTGCAAATTCAAGAAGAGCTTTATTAACATAAGTAGTTATGCTCTCCGAGTGTTTTGTCTCGTCTGTGTATTTATTAGTATTTTCGATATTTGTCAATGTTATGAGAAAGTATATATATATATATATATATCATGTATATGTGTTACACTGATGAGTCGCAAGACTCAAAGTTAATAAAGAACTTGAACTTGAACGTTCTGCTATTGCTGATTAGTCAATGATGAGCAGTAACTTAAGTTGGTCAAGATGAACTAAGGAGACGCCAAAACATCTTGACCACTCAGGACAATCACCAGGGTGAAGGTGGACATGGGGTTGTTTTTCGAGTTGACAATTAGTGATCAGTTAAGGATTTACTTTCAAGATTGTTGAGGTAAACTACCACGATGAACTTGTGTATTTTTTATAGTTAACTTTGCCGGTTTTTTCAATTTACTCGTGAAAATTGCAGTTATCCCTGATAACCTAAAATATCCCCAAATGCATCAACACTTACACTTAGATTACACCCAAGTTTGTAACCTACCTTTAACGTTATATTAAATGCTGAATGGGTCTTGGCAATCAAACTTGTGATGGCATCCTCAGTAACCTGGAATAGTTTTGTGTTGTTTTGAATTTTAAAAACCCATACTGTTTGTTTTCTTTGGATTTCGAGTGAGAGCATTGGATTTATGAAAACGGTTATAACAAAATTAGTAGCACTTTTTGTAATAACGAAAAGAGAAGAAAAAAACACAGCAGATTGAAGACCATTAACTTTTTATACATACAATAGTTACAACAGTTCTTCGTACGTACTGAACAAGATAGCGAGCCAGGGCATCATAACGACGTTTTTGTTATCTTGACTCATGTCATACATTCCAATGAAACAAGAGGCCCATGGGCCTTAACGGTCACCTGATATATTTATACAGAGAGTTGATTTTGTTTTTAACATGAACAGAAATATTATTCAAAGTGACAAAAAACAATAAAACCACCTTATTCAATATCTAGCATACAGATTTCAGACTAAAAAGGATTTGAAACTAGTACCTCTGATTCTAAACAAGGAAAATGAAGAAATTTTAGCACACTGACTCCTTTGAGCCCCACCCTACAGCCCTTGGGGGTAGGGCTGG